TTTTCCCAAAGCACCACAGAAACCAGGAAAAAGTACTCTCATTTTACCTTAAAAATAAATTTAAAAATTAGGACCTGATCAGTACCTTACTCCATGGTATAAGTGCAACATGGAACTTGAGAATTTTCTGTGATCAAAAGTTGTTCTGCCTCACTGTCTGTCTGAAGAGAGAACTCTAAAATACTTCTGCTGCTGATGACACTTAGGGTGACAAATTGGAATGTATAATGCCAAATATCAAAAGTTCTGTACCTTAACAACAGAAACATGTGATCCATGTGCTAAGTACCACTGCAAGTTAGCACAAGACTTTGACCATTCAAGTATGTCCAGTATGGATACCTTTAGGAATCTATTTATTTATTTTGGTTTTACGAGACAGGGTTTCTCTGTATTGTTTTGGAGGCTGTCAGACCAGCCCGGCCTCGAACTCACAGAGATCCACCTGCCTCTGCCTCCCGAGTGCTGGGATTAAAGGTGTGAGCCACTACCGCCCGGCACCTTTAGGAATTTCTAACAGGATCCATTAGTCATTTTGTTTCTGCTCTTTGGGGTATTCCTCTCATCCTGTCCAACACTGTCACCTCTTCAGTTTAGCATTAGAAGATTGAAATTCTTCAATTAGTCGTAACTGGTGGTCATACCAACACAACACTCTGGCCAGCATCCCAGGCTTAAAAAGAAATACCCTTAAGATGGTTTCGCCTACTCCTTCACCATTAGCTTCCTGTGGCCTGACATCAGATCCTTCAATTCAGTGATTCATCTAACAGTGTGAAGGTATTTGTTCCTTTACTGTTCTGAGTTACATGTGATGGTAATAACCAGAGTAATTAAACAATTCAAGCCAGGCTACTGGATCAAATTCTTATAACAGTGAATAAGGCCTTGGAGGTATTTGAGTTGTTGTTTTGGGATGTATTTTGGTCTAGTGTGGTATGATTTGAAATTTTTTCTCTTGAATTTGGTCACAAGCTAAAGAGGCCATACCATATTTAATCTAATAATCCAAGAACAAGAGACAAGGGACACCACAGATCAGCCTTCCATCAGCTGCCATTGGGTCAGATTTGGTGAGAGGATAGCAGTTTTTTCTTGATGTGGTAATCTTCCTGGATTGGTAGACTTCCTTAATTTTTCTTCATATATATATATATATATATACATATATATATCCATGTATGGGCTTCATGCATACATAATTGTGCACATGTGGACCAAAGGTCAATTTCTGGAGTATTCTTTAACTGAAAGCCACCCTTTCTTTTGAGACAGGGTCTCTCATTGAACCTAAAACTTGCTAGTTCTACCAGACTATCAGGTCAGAAAGCCACAGGAATCCTCCTATGACTACTTCCCTAACACCAGGAAAATAGGTGCACATGGCTTATCCAGTTTTTCCACAAAATCCAGTCATTCTTACATGGCATACCTTTTTAAAGACTAGGCTACCTCTCCCACCTCCCTTCTTTTGCATTCAATTCTAAGACATCTACAAGAGTCTATCAATCCATAGGAGTAACTACTTTGATCAACTGAAAAAAAAATCCTTCTTTACCCATTATAAATTATAAGAAAAAAGAAAAAATAATAAAAAGGTACATGTTATAATATCATGTAGCTTCAACATATCTTTAGCAAAGCTGTCTGTACACAATAGAACTACAAATTACTGAAAAGAACATCTAAGATGACAATAAGTCTATGCACCCACCCGCTTGATGTAAAGACTTACTGTTTAAAAATATGAGCTCTCAGAATCCACTTTGCTGTAGGCCCCACTCACTGTACTCTACATTGACTCCAAAGAAGGGACAAAAGTAATATATTTGGACTAAATCTAGATTTCTTCTCTTGTAAGTAGTTCTCCCATTAGATATTGCCTATGCAAACACCCTTGAGCTATCTATTCCTGATGGATTGCTGACAAGTTTATTCATATTCTTTGTTAAGCACACAGAATTCGGAGGGTTTCAGAAGATATTATCCTGGTATCCTCATGGAATATATGTAAAAATAAAGTTTTAAATTTCATGTGTTCTAGCATGAGATAGGTAACTCAGCTCAGAGAAATGGAAATGGGGAAGTTTCCAGAAAGAATTGAACTTAGACTAAGTTAGTCATCCATGATACATTCATAGAATTTGTTCTCAAAATGGGCAAGTTCACAGCTTACCTATTGATGACTGAGAAGCCACTGGGCCAACTATCAGTCAAGGATATGTGTTGATGAGTGAGTGAGTGTGTGTGTGTGTGTGGGGTGTGTGTGTGTGTGTGTGTGTGTGTGTGTGTGTGTGTGTGTGCACTCCAGCATATGTGTTCAGGTCACACAGGTGTGTCTACACATGAGGCCAAATGTACAAATTAAGGTGTCAACCACATTCAATTTTGCTTTGTTTTGATGCATGGACTTGTGCTCATCAACAAGCCTCAGAAATCTGCCTTTCTCTACTCCAAGGACCAGGGTTATAAGCATCTGCAACTATACCATGGTTTCCTTCCTTCCTTCTTTCTTTCTTTCTCTTTAATATTTTTGTATTTGGCTTCATTTTACATTCCAACCACAGTTCTCCCTCGCATCCCTCCCCCCTGCACCCTTGGCTCCTCCCACCCCCCTCAACTTCTTCCTAGCTCATCCTCAGTCCACTCCTCATAGGTAAGGGCTCCAAAGTGGAGTCAACACAGTCTGCCACAATAAATTAGGGCAGGGCTAGGCCCCTCTCCCATGCATTGTGATTGAGCAGGGCATTCGACCATGGGGAGTGGTCTCCAACAAGCTAGCTCATATACCAGGAAAATATCATGGTCTTACTGTCACTGAGCATGACATTCCAACCTAGGGAAAGGGCTCTAACAATCTATTTCTTTATTTATTTTAATCTGGGTCCTAAGGACCTAACTAATGTCCTCATATTTGCAAAGCAAGCACTTTACTGACTGATCAATCTCCCCAGAATAAATATCCTTTTCTATATAAATGATAGCTACTGAGAGCATCTCAGGCTCTGAATAACTGAAGTGAAGCAGAAGATACTGGAAAATAACAGACATGGCCCTGCTCTTAGGAACATACTAGCTCAGGAAGTAACCAGCTCAAAAAGGAACATGATCAAGTTGAGGACACGTCCTGTTCAAGAAAGTGTAGGTAAAGCAAAGAGTGTGCTGCTGTGCCTGGAATCTCAGTGTTGAGAAATAAGGCAGGCACATTTGTGAAACCCATAAGTCCAAAGTCCAGCTGAATTGATGAACTTTACGTTTACTGAGAGACCCTGTCTCAAAAATTAACCATGGAAGGTGGATGGCATCTAGAAAAGACATCTACTGTAAACCTCGGGCTTCCACATGACATACATTTGCATACACACCTACTCACATATGTGCACAGACACCCTCACTAACAATTATATATACTACATACAACAAACAATCAACATAGAGAGACAAGGTGAGACCCAGGAGGGAGGAGGGTAAGGCTGTGGATCTCCACCAAGGGAGGTTCTAATATGGTTGGAAATAGTAGGAGAGAAGGGCATTGGAACATGTTTCCCAGTTCTTTCTTCAAAGAAACCAATTATAAATGACTAAATATGTCAATTAACCCCAAAACTGTATAACCCAGAGCATGGCTGCCAACTCCTGAAATGCTATGGGGTCACTATGTGGTATGATTCAAATTGTTGCTCCCAATCAATCTTACCCTCAATTTCCTCATCAGCAAAATCGGAATAACCTCTGTGTGACTTGCAAAGCACAGCTAATTAACATTTATGACAAATGAGGAATTATATAACAGGTTATGTAAATGCATAATAGCACCAAGAACCAAACTGCTTTGCCTATAGCATTTAACTTTAAAAGAGATCTGAAAATACAAAAGAAAAAGGAAAACCAAGGATGGTAAAAAAACAAAATAAATAAACAAATAAAAATGTGATTAAGGACAGAGGAGGAAAGTGGCCCCTTCTCCTCCCCTAGGCCGTCTATAGGTATGGAAACTCTACAGTGGCATACAATTTTATTTTATAAGCATTGTTACAAACTCTCACAGTTGATTATAGACAAACAATGATGCTGGCATCCACTACTTGAGAGGATTCATGAAACAGGCAGCTATGATAAGTATGAAAACCCCTTTAATCCTCCATTGAGGTGATGTCATTGTTGTCTTCATTGTTTTTAATAAAGGTCATTCATTTAACACCTGAATCTCTGCCATCATACTTTCCAAATGCTTACACATTATAGTTGAGCATTTATATTTAATAATTAGGAAAAGAAAATGTGATTCAATCTGGTACAAATGACCTTGGAGAAGTAAAATAAAATGGATGATTTGAATTCAAGGAATTCTTTTGAGCCTCCTGTCCTACTGTGCCTCACGAATGAATACTCTGTTATTATCACTACAGCGAACTTCACTCTAAGCAAGGAGGGAAGATGTTGCTCAGAGAGAATCATGGATTCCTCAAGGTCACAGTGGTAGACAAGCTAAGGAGGAAAGATTTGCTGGCAGAAACAGGAGACTTGTGCCTCCTATTTTTTCCATATCACTTCTTTGAATTCTCTCTGTCTCTCTGTCTCTCTCTCTCTCTCTCTCTTTCCTGTGTGTGTGTGTGTGTGTGTGTGTGTGTGTGTGTGTGTGTGTGTGTGTGTGTGTAGGCTTGTGGAGAACAGAAGTCAGAGGTCAAAATTAGATGTTGTTCATTAGGTTGCTCTCAGTTTGCTTTTCTGGAACAATATGTTTCTCTCACTTGGCCTGAAACTTGCTGACTCTTTTCAGTCAATCAGTAGGGCAATAATCTATCTGTTTCTGCATACACAACAAGATGATAAGACTGAACCACCATGCTGTTACATGGGTTATGGAGATTGAACTCAGGTCATCATATCACCTGGCAAACTATTTCCCCAACCTACTCTTTGTACTTTGATCAGTCACAATACTGGTTTTGTCTTAGGAAATGTGGGTGCAGAGATTCACATTGTGTGATTCTTTTTTGTTAAATTTGGGTTGCTTCAGAAATTTGTGTGTCATCCTTGTGCAGGAGCCATGCTATCTCTATATTGTTCCAATTTCAGTATAGAAGTGCTGAAGAGAACACCATTTCATTGTTCTTATCCTCTATGTGCATCTCCAAAATGAAGAAGCATTCTAACATGATAATATCCTGCTTCACAATGAAATAATGGTGTCTCTTAACAGCCACAGGTCTTGGGATGCATAGATAGCAATGATAACAGCTCTGGCAAGAACATGTGAATATAGTACAGACATGGAAAGGTATGTGGGCAAGTTATCAAGCTGAATAAATCACATTCTCCAAGGAGTTTCATCAGGAAATAGGAATGTGCTTGATTATAGAAGTAAAATTATCTAGGCATGAAGGTTGTTGTGGGTTAAATGAGAAATGTCTCAGATAAACTTGTGTGTTTGAACACTTGATCCCCAGTTGACTGTGCTGTTTCGGAGAGTATGAAAAAGTTCATTGAGTATTGCTTGAGAGAATAAGTTACTGGAGTGGATACTGAAAAATATAAAGCCTTCTTATCCCCTTTTCTAGTTCACTCACTCATATTCCTGTGTGTGGTTGAGATGTGACCACTCAGCTTCCTGCTCCTGAAGCAATGCCCTCTCTATTATTATGGCAATCTAGCCCTATTATATAGGTTGCATTGGATCATGGTATTTTATTAAAGCTACATAAGTAAATGACACAGTGGTACACACCTGTAATTCCAGTGTTGTGGAGGCTGAGGCAGAAGGATAGCAAGTTTAAGTCTAAACTGGAATACATGGCAGTAAAATGCCACCAGAAACAAATAAAAAAAGGAAGGAAGGATATAAGGGAAGGGGGAAAGGGAAGTAATGAGTAGGGGGGAGAAGTAGAGATGGAGGGAGAAAGGAAATCAAAATATTCATGTTTTTGTATAGTCTTAACAATCAGAATGCATAGCTATTAGATATAACAGATTTAAAATACTTAGGCAGGAATAGGGAATCTGCATCATTGGGTCAGAGCAAGCCAAACAATCAGAAGTTTTATGGAATGAATGTATCTCAGAAGTCTATTATTTAAATCTGAATTCCATACTTGCTTGTCATCTTGATATTTTTGACAAGTGCGTGTAAGGATTTTTGACAGTAAGGAAGTTTCCAATATATTTTTACTATATAAAAATAAATGTAAAATACATAACTGTGTTTCTAAATTGCTAATGTTTATTTTAAGAAATAAAACATTCATCATCTTAAAACCCTGCACTTCTGAGCACTGATTGCTATGTGCTAGGAGTGAGGGTAGCAGCGCAAATTATAGTCGATTCGGCAGCAGAGAGAGAATGCAGCTGTTTTTAGTTCTGCTTTTGCAACATCCATGGTGGAATTCAGAATTTACTGAGAGCTGGCTTTTCTCATTTTACTGGCAAAGGAACTGTAAGCTTAATTACTCTCGGGGGTCTTCTGTAAATTATTTCCATAGATCTGGAGAAAGAAGATGGCAGAAAATAAACATTCAGCATCTTTTTTTAGTGAAGAAAAAAGTCATCTCCACTGAACTGTGTTTTCTACCCACACCCAGACCTCTCCTAGGATTCAGAAGGGCAAAGAGACCCTTCCCAATTCTTGCAGACATTGTTTATCTCTTGAAAACACTTTCTCTCTCTCCTTTATCCCACTCTCCACCTGGTACATTCATTCCCCTGACTGTCACCGTTCCTTTTCCTCTTCATCTCTGCAACAATGCTGGCATCTGCATGCTTGGAGAGACCCACATGATCTTCCACCGTGCCTTCATTCAGGGATGAACATTGGAGCTACTGGAATAATCATGGAGACAACCGCTAGTAAATTAATGCATATTCCCCCCCTTGAAAGGAGGACCAGCAGCATAATCATATCTGACATTTATTGACTGTTTGCTCTGCCATTTATTTCATTTAGATCCCTTACACGCACTGTGAGAAGGCATCATTCTAAGTACGTGTAATGCAGACCTGGCCTGATATGCTAGAAACAGCAGCAGCTTCCAGCCAATCTCAGGCTGTCTGACCTCAGAGCTCACACTTTCATCCACTTACAATGTTTACCTCCCATGGAAATGTTGGGGCTTGAGGGGAGAATAAGTAGTGTAATTTAAACATGAAAGGAAGGAAGAAAGCAGGGAGGAAATGAAGAAGGACAGACTGAGGGAGGAAGGGAGATAGGGAGGGAGGAAGGGAGGGAGGGAGGGAGGGAGGCAGGGAGGGAGGGAGGGAGGGAGGGAGGGAGTTGGGTCAGGAAGGTTGTCAACTATGTACCACCTTGTCTCTGGTCACTTTAACCAATGAAACAGGAAATACAATGTTTTGACATGTGACTCTCTCCTGGAGTTCAGGCTGACACCCAAACTCATATTTTATATTTGAAGCCTTGATGCCTTTGTCAAGTGCATAGAAGACATCAGCCAGAGTTAATGTCAAGTTGTCTTACAAAATTAGCTTGGTTTGAGGAAGCAGTTTAGACGGACAGTGTTCAAAATGTAGGCAAAGGCAGTAGCAGTGAGAGTGTGGTCCTGCCTGGTTCAGAGACGGCACCTTGATGCTCACTTAAAAAGAGCTCTGAAGCTTTTCCAAAAGCAACCCCACTATGGCAATTGTGTGGGAGATGTTTGCATTCTGCAGAGAACCAGCAATCCTGCTGAGGAATTATATGGTTAATGTGCTAGAAAAGCCTTCATAAAATGGCATTTCCGTTTCCAGCTTTGCAGCCTCCCACACCTGTGCTTGCCAGGTTCTTGTATGAACACAATGGCCTCACTGGCACCATCAGATTTCATTGCCAATGAAAAAGCAACAAACCATGTCATAACCACCCACCATCTCTTTGAAACCCACCCAACTGTTTGGACATTTCAAGCAAGCATAGCATCTCCTTTATGTCACAAGGAGACCAGGTGGCTGCAAAGCAATGAATGGCACCCAGCCCATTCTCTTTTACCGCCCTTCCAGTGGTGCTTACCTCCCCTGGACCATCTTGTTCTTTGTCTTTCTCTCCGCTCTAATTGAGACTACTGTGAGTACATAGGAGAGTGTTACACTTTGCTTTCTACAGGCCCAGTGTTAGATCTAAAAAGACCTTAATATAAATATTGAGCATTCTTTAACCCTTGTAGCTGACTGAATAGGAAATGGTGGTATAGGGAATAATGTATATAATAGATAGTATGAAGTCATGTTTGCTCTTACTGGTTAGTCACACAGTGATAGACAAGTTATCCTTCAGCACTCTGGATAGCTCATGGGTTTATTTAGTGGGTTTTTTGATTGTTTGTTTTTGTTTATATTTAGGGGTTTTTGGTTTTTTGTTTTTATTTAGTGGCTTTGTCTTTGGAAACCAACACTACAGGAGTAAAAATTCTCTCTTATTATCTTGGGCTGCAAGACACTAATGGAGATTCAGTAAAATCTTTAATTAAGCACTAAGTGCTGATGCATAGAATCTGAAAGAAGCTAATGTTTGCACTTAATATTAGAATTTATTTTCTTCTAATGAACATGAAAGTAGGTACACTGCAGCACAAAATGGTAAGAGATAAATGGCTTCATATTAGAAAAACAGGAGGCCACTTCTAAGGACCAACAAATGGGTGATACAGGCTGCAAGGGAAGGAAAACAGTTTAACTGCAAGACAATTTAAAACATCAGTTCTTGGGTTAGGGAGATGGCTTTGTAGGAAAGCATTTGCATATGGGAGACTTGAATTCCTATCCCCAGTACCCAAATAAAGGCCTGATGCATAGTATGGCCATCTGTAATCACAGTGGTCCCACCACAAGTTCAGAGATGAAGACAGAGAATCCCCAGAAGCTTACAGGCCAGTTAGCCTGATGTAAGCTGAGGTGAACATGAGACCATGTCTAGATGAGGTAGATGCTAAGGATTGACATCAAATGTTGTCTTCTGACCTCTATATGTGCACCATGGTATGCTTGCACCCACACTTAAACAAACATACAAACCCATATGCAAACACACATTGTAAGATAGTAATAAGTTTGTACATACAGATGTTCTATCTATTGCTAGGTGCTGGGCACAGGAATAAATAACACAAAAATTTCCAAACAGACAAACATTTGTCAGGAGTTCATACTAAAAAAGTAAGGAAGGGGATGAATAAGAGACATAACATAACATAACATAACATAACATAACATAACATAACACAACAACATAGGGTAAACTGAAGTTTAACACCAATATATCAATTCAGGGTCAATCTAGCATGGATTTGTTAGGTTTGACTACACAGTAAGCTAAGAACAGAAGTTATCAAGAAAACAAAAAATTTGTAAAGCCTCATAATCATCATTGGCATTTTCTGTGATTATCTGGGGGCCTGATTTGTGTGTACATAAAAGAGGCCTTGGTCTGAGCTCTGTAAAGAACTGCTTTTTGAAAGCCTTAACTCAGAAGTCTAATTGCAATACAGATATATGAATGCTTGGGGAAAATCTTTTATGTAAATTACCATCACCTAATATTAAGCTAAGCCAGTAATACAAATGCACAGAGTGAATGTATCCAAATATTCAGAACTGAAATGACCCATGGCTTCCTATCTGACAGCATTTCTTATAGCATGTAAGATGTGTCTATATTATTACCATTTAGGTTAACACTGCAGAAGCTTTGGAACTTCACAAGTCAACAGCTAATTTGACTTACTAGTGGCAGAAAAAGAAAAAGAAACAGTTCTGACAGATGTATCCCATGAAAGCAAAGTGCTGAAAATTAAAGAATGCCTAGGATGTTCCTGTCAGTTCGCATTTTCCTCACAAAGGCCTTCTCAGAGATGAACAATTTCAGGGTGTTCTGCTTATAAATAGGCTACCTCCCAGATGCTGAGTTGAGCCAGAACCCAAAGCTTGCTCTGGGTTTAAAGAGTAATAAGAATGGTAAGTCAGGCCTGGTTAAAACTGCCCTCAATTACATTAAACCAAAAAATACCATTCAAGAGATACACAGGACAAGGATGAGTAAAAGAGGCTGTCTTTCTAGCTATTCACAAAGAACCAGAAATGGTCCCACAGTCCTAAGCAAACAAGTTGTTTCATTTAGAGC